TCTTAATGTTATCATTCACATGGTATTTCATATGAGACCACTCTGCTAGAAGCTTCTCTGATTTTAGCTTTTGGACTTCTTCTGTCTCAATCTGGAAAAAGTGTTAGGCTAAAATGTTGACACTGGAATGTCCACACTCTTGAAAACCATCAGCCTCATATGCTGGCACATTTACTGGATCAAAGATACTGAGGGCACTAATAACATCAGAGCTTGAAACAAATCTTTGATCCAAATTATTTGATAGAGCTGCTACATACTTTTGTGTAAGGCTGTGCATTTGTTGGTATGAGGTGGGGGGAAATATAATATCACATCCAAGATTTGTAAAGCTATTGACATCTGCTTGTAGTTTGTCCACAGGGATGTCATCCTCGACGATTTTGTTCAAATGTTGTTTGGTTGCTTTGATATGTGGTTGAATAAGGGAAAAATTATCTATGTTGCTTCTTTGAAATGTGTGGGAAAGACTTGAAAGAAGTAGAAGAACCTCTGCTAAAATGTACAATGCTCCCATAGACTTTGCATTCTTCCTCTTCTTTAAAAGGCCAGCTGCTGTGGCATCATTGTGTCTGCTATCTAACTCTTGCAGTGTTTGTATTACACCACAGTACTGTTGTTTCATAGCTTCCACTGATTTGTCAAAGCTTAGCCATCTGGTTTTGCAAGCTTTTTTCAGTTTTTGGCCAACACCTTCTTGCCTTTGGTTGAGCTCACTCTCACTTCATTCACATTTGTTAGTACTTTCATCAATAATGCCATTCGCTTGGGTGAGTTCTCAAAATAATTGGTGTCTTCATTAGAATCAGTACATGCAAGAGCTAGCCTGTGGCATACACAGTGTATAGCAATGATGCATGGATTATCTCACTTTAGTTTAGAAGCTACACCCTCTCTTGTGCCTATCATGACAGATGCACCATCTGTTGCCATCCCATCAAATTTTTTATGCCTAACTGTGATGAGAGAAGCTCCTCTTGGAGCAAGTCATAGATTGCCTGTGCAGTAGCTGCATCATGTTCTTTTAGCACATTNTAAGATCGGACTCTGCTATTCAATATTACTTTGAACTGTAACAGTACCTTATGTCAAAGTATTCCTTTATTCTATGTACAGTGCATGTCTGTAATGATCGTGACTGAACACCTTAAAACAGCATTAAGAGTACCAGTGAGAGTGAAATATGACTCTGTCCACAAGACTATGGAGTAAACTACTTTGTGACAGGATTTACAGCGTATCTTAAAACAAAAAAAGCAACAATGGTCTATCAGTCAAGGCTGATTGACCATCATGCACCACTAAAGGAAAAGGTCATCAGATCAAGGTCCCAAGTTCCTTGGTGTAACGAAAAGATTGCTAGGGCCAAAAGAGAACACCGCAAAGCAGAAAGGGTATGGCAGAGATCGGCACACAAGTCTGACTTAGTTTGCTATTTTTAAAAAGAAAAAGAACCATGTGATGTACATTATTAATAAAGCTTGGAAAGCTTTTTATTCGGAGTTTATAGATAGCGATACTGAAGATCAGGGAAAGCTGTTTAGGAATATGAAAAAGCTCCTCACCCCAAGTCAGCATTTGTTGTTCTCTGACTGTGATAATCATCAATCTCTCATCAATGATATAGGAGAGTTCTTCTGCCATAAAATTCACAACATCAGATTAGCATTGTACTCCTCTGAAATTACTCTTGAGGAGAAGGCTACAGTACCCGAGGACCCAGTGGTTGGGGAAGAGGAAAAATTTCCAAATTTCCGGCAACTCTTGTACGACGAGGTTGGTGCATTAGCATGAAAGACTACTAAAAAGACTTGTAGCCTTGATCCCATGCGGACATCAATGGTAGTAACCTGCTTGGACAAACTTTTACCCACATTAACATGCATTTTTAATTCTTCTCTTGCATTGGGTCATTTTCCATTAAAATGGAAGGATGCTCTTGTAGATCTGCACCTCAAATCTTGACTGGGAAAGATACATCATTCCTAAACCTCCCCCCCGTCAGTAACTTACAGTATATTTCAAAGCTAACCGAGTGTGCTGTTTACAATCAGACCCACAACGACATGTTGCAATAGGAGCGATACCCCCTACTACAATCTGCTTATAGGGTTGGTCATAGGACAGAAAATGCACTACTTAAAGTACAAAATGATGTTCTACTGAACATGGACGGATTGAGGGTTACGCTACTAGTACTTCTTGATTTAAGTGCCGCCTTTGATACAGTAGATCGTCATGTGTTAATGAGACGGCTGGAATCTAGCTTTGGAATAACTGGAACTGGAAGTTGGTTTTCATTGTACCTGTCACAAAGGTCACATCGCATCTACTATGAGGGCTGTACATCTAAGACGTTTCACTTACTCCACGGCATGCCTCAGGGCTCATGCCTAGGGCCCCTCCTATTCACTGTGTATCCAAGCAAACTGTTTGAAGTCATCAAGTTCTATCTACCTGAAGTACACGCTTATGCAGACGATACTCAGTTATATTTATCATTTCAACCAAACTCGGAGGCAGACCAAGTGGAGGCAGTCAATGCAATGGAGAGGTGCATCGCAAGCATCTGAAACTGGATGAAATTGGATAAGCTTAAGTTGAACACAGATAAAACAGAAATAATCCTTATTGGCATTAAGCCACAGCTTAAAAAGATCAAGTTTAATCGTGTCAAAGTTGGTCGTGTAGATGTATCAGTGCAGACTACTGCTGTACATAACTTGGGAGCCTGGTTTGACTGTAACTTAAAATTGTCAACTCATATCAATAAGATCTGTCAGTCTGTATATTACCATCTGCACAATATCAGGCATATTCAAAAGTATGTTACACAGGATAGCACCAAGCTTCTTGTGCAAGCAGTAATTATGTCACAGATTGACTACTGCAATGGCCTATTATATAATATACCAGCTGTACATCTGTCTAAGCTACAATCTTCAGAATACAGCAGCGTGTTTAATTACTTTCACGCCTAAATTCAATCACATACTGCCCGTTTTGTTCAAGCTTCATTGGCTTCCTGTTGAATATAGGATTCAGTATAAAATAGGTTTATTGACTTTCAAGGCAATTCATTTGAAAACGCCACAGTATTTGAGTAACTTGTTGTTTATCAACTGAAGGAAAATAGCAGGTACTCTTTACGGTCAGTGTCTAATGGTCTGATACTTGAAGATCCTAGTTGTCGGTTTAAAGTTACATTGGGGGACCAATCATTCAAAGCATCTGCCCCAAGAACTTGGAATGGACTGCCAAGAGAGATAAGAGACCAGACTAATATAACCACGTTCAAGACAATGTTAAAAATGCATTTATTCAGAAGAGCATATTTCACTTTTCTCTAATTAGTCTCATGTAATTATAATGTAAATAGTTTAGTTAGTTTAGATACTTTTTTATTTAATTATGCAATTTATTATACTATAGGTGATTTTGTATTTTGTAAAGCTCTTTTGATCATATGTGCATGTAAAAAGCACTACAGAAGTATTAAACATTATTATTATTATTATTATTATTAAGTTAGTGGTTACTTCAGGTTGCATTGTATATTTCATAGAATGCATATGATTGTATACATGTAGAGTCTTAGTTTTTTAAACATTGAAAACTTCTAGCAAAGTTTTTCCAACTTATACAGGGAATGGAAAAAAGATATTGCTGCATGTGAAATTTGAAAAATACAGTAACAATATAATTTTCTAAGCTGGAGTAAATAATTGGTTACTGTAAGACCACATTGGTTAACATTTGTTGGCCATTTAAGTGTCACTTGGCTCCATGGTTAGATTGCTCCAAGTCAGTCTACTCCAACTGAAAGGTAGATCCCTCCTCCAAAACGATTAACATTGTACTTTGCTCCATACAGAGGCGAGTTTGCTTCATGTAAAAAATTATTGAAATATTGGTGTGACCTTTTTGTTATGTTCGCACATTATACATGGGTTGAACATCTAAACTAAAAGCAGTTCATGTTATTGCATTGTAAGTTCAACACTGCAAGTCAGAGTGATGAAGAACGTTTTGAGATGACACAAATAGCTTGGGTTGTATTCTGAAGTCTGAAGGGTTAAGCTTGCACATTTTACCTGTACCACAAAACAACACACGTGATTTTCATTCCAATGTAGGGTTGCCATTTTTAAACCCATTGATTATAACATCAGTTATAGATAAGTAAGTTAAATTCAATCTAGTGAGCATATATATTCTTAACACTAAATTATATCTGGGGTGAGGTCACTTCAGTGTAGAGCAAAATCACGTTTGTATGGTGGGAAGTCACTTTTGTGTGGAGCAAAGTAACTTTTAATATGGAGCTAACTAACTTTTGGTTGGAGCAAACTGACTTGGACCAAGCTGACTTGGACCAATCTTTGCCTAACCATGGAACAAAGTGAGTGGACCCTTACCCAGTGGCATCTCTGCACAACTTATTTAGAAGTTACTTGATGTTATTAGTATAATTTTCAGAGCTGTGATAGATTATTTTTGAGTTTGGAATAATAGCTACAATGATTCAGCATACCAAAGAACTTCAGACGAGATTATTAACTTAAAGTGTTTTCTTTCCTTCTTGCCATAAATCGCTCTATGAGCCTTCACTTGTAATTGTGCTGATGACTCAATTTGAGAGGAATGACCAGTGAGCATTTGCCTTGTGTTGTGATAGTCCTTTGATATGTGAAGTTATCAAGAGTACTGTATTCACTGGCCAATGAGCATTTGCCTTGTTGTGGTAGTCTTTGATATGTACAGTAGAGTTATCAACAGTGATATGTTTGTTCCAGTAAAAAATTTTTTCTGGTCTTTTTTCTCAACCAGGTAATTTTCTTTTAACTACTTGTAGATTATTTTTTTCCAGTCCTCTGTCTAAAAAAAAATTAAATTTTATATGGGGTGTGGTTAAAAAATAAGGGCATTTTTTAATTGGGGGGTGGGGAGGGTTCTTGAAAAAGTACCAAAAAACAATTTTAAAAAACTTGCAATACCCTTTTCAGTTTTTCTGTCATCTCTCTCCTTTATTCTCTTTTTTTCACCTCCCTGACCACCTTTCCTATTCCATCCCTCTCCTATCATGCCACCTATCATCACCTTCATGTAATTCATTACGCACTTCTTTTATCAATAAAAGTCCTTACCCAGGATTGAACCACTAACCTCCAGATTTGTAGTCCATCTTATCCACTTGACCATATTTTCATATCTTATTTTCCAATATCATATACTTTTGGCCCTAGGCCCAACTTAGCCAAAATGTTTAACAATGCAAAACTAGAGCATGCTCAGTTGTGTCCAAATTGGACTGGGCATCAAAATGGCTTAAATAAAAAACAATTTGGTAAAAAAAAAAAATAAAAAAAAAATGGAACACCTTAAACAATCAAAACAGGGTACAGTAAATTTATTGTATTTATTGATGGGCTTTTATTATAAGAATGCCAAGAAATGGCTTCATGATTTAAAGAAATATCATGAAGAATGTGGCTTATCAAAGCTGGAAGTTTAAGCAATCAAAAGAATGCAGTGGGAAATAAAGAATAACAATATTTTGTCCAAAGATATGAAGAGTAGAAATCCAAGGCAAGACCTACACAAAATCTTAACTGATGTGCATTCTCAAATGGCTAACCAAGGAAGAAATAATACAGAAGACTGCCTAACAAAACCTTCTGCTGAAATACTGTAGCATGTTATACAGCTGTTTGTAGGAGTATGGGACCTAAATAAGCAGAAAGCTAGCAGGACACATCAAACAAAGAAAACAATAAAAAATCCTATCCTAGCCAGTTGACAAAACATCACTATTGCATCCTCATGTGCTGTTTGGCAAAGCAATCTCAGTTGAAAGAAAAATGTGTAAAGGTTCTAGTATCTCTAGCTAGACTAGCAAAATGTTCCAAACCTAATGTGCAGTTGGACACTAGAAAAGATAAAACATTCACAAAAGCCTGCCAAATGGCTCACAACAACAATCATATTGATCTTTAATGAATAGATTTCCAATTTAATGTATGAAGGACTTTTTTCACTGAAGCAATATATTGCAAATGAGGTATTTGGCTTATAAAGTCACCCTAACCCAAACCCTTTAACCCAAGCCCTAGCCCTAAACCCAACTCTTGAATAACAAAAAATTACTAGTTTTAAACAAGAAACAACTACCGGTAGTTGATTTTAAAAAAATCCAGTTAGAAAATACATTAAAAAATAAATCACCTGGTTAGGAAGAACTGACTAGTGAAATAATACAATTCACTGGAAGCAAAAATTAACTGCAACCTTTTATCCAACTATGCTTTGTAGAGTACAATCATTAATGCCCAAAACGGGTACAAATAGCTCATGGTATTTGCGCTCCAGAAAGCCAGTTAGGTTTTCTTGCAGCCTGCAAGCAACGAATTGAAGGTACAAATAAAAAATGGCGGAGAATTTAAATTATCCTTCTGATGATGTAGAATCGGAATGGCTGGTGATTGAAGATATTGATCCAAGTTTACTAGATAAATCAAATAAAGAAAAGCAGTTAGACGTCAATGAAATTTCAACATTTATTGAAGATAATAGAAACAGCAGCATGACAAAGAAGACAAAAACTGACCGCTATTTCAGTTCCGCTTTGCATACTTGTGTCACGCACTCCCTGTTGATAAATTTCTGTGAAATTTGCCTACACTGAAATGACAACTAGGCATGTTGGATGATAAATCTGTTGACAGTAATGTTTTTTTGTTGTGTAGTATCACTGAGTATTTTTACTTGTTTGTATTTTGACTTGCCCCACGGGCTCTTCAAAATACAGCACAAAATACTTGGCAATACTACACAACAAAACATTAAATAAGATATGTATATACACTGGTTTCTTTTCAGATGACCATAGTCGCATTGTTTTAAAGGAAGGATCCCCAGACTATATCAATGCCAACCTTGTTGAGGTATTTGTCAGTGTCCAATAGAATGAGAAAATTTGAATTTGTTTTGGTTACTGGTACTTACCACAAGCCTAACCAACTTATATTTCATAAACATTTTTATTTAGAACTTTTTGTTTATTACTTAAGAATTATAATTTTATTAGTTTGGAGTTATTTCAAATGCTGAAGACTAAGTTACAGGTTAATTATTTGGGAATAGCATTTTATAAGTTTAAAGGACTTGGAATGTGCACTAGATTGAAATATGCAAGACTAATGAAGAGTGATTCAATTTTTATTAACAGATATCAAGATTGAACAAAAAGTATATTTTGACCCAGGTTTGTTGTATTGAATATGACTAAGAAAAGCAAGTGTCATGCAATTATGCTATCTCTAAAAGTGGTTGATAATTCATCAGATTATATAAGTATGTCTCAAACATGATTAAACATTCACTTAATTGTCACCTTTATTTGCACTGTCATTTGCTTCATTCAAGTACCATTTGGGTAATAATTCCTGTGCAGTTGTCACTGAAGTGTAGGTATTTTAAGCAAGGTCCGAAAGCTCTAGCAAGATCCCATGGCATTTGCTAAAATTGATATTTTTAATTTTTAGGGACCCTTACCTCATACTGCAAAGCACTTCTGGCAGATGATATGGGAGCAAAACACAGCAGCCATTATCATGCTTAACAAAGTAGTGGAAAAAAATCAGGCAAGCACAAATCTGATAATAGGACTTTAATATTAAACCTCAGGTGTCTCAAACTTCTCATTACATAGATTAAAATCTGTGTCTGTGGATGTGGACTTGATGTTCACATGTCGCTGCTAAATTTAACCCTGCCTGGGTAACTTGAATGTTGGCAACCTCATACCATTCTAACTGGTCTTTTGAACGTTCAAGAGTTAACAGAACTCAACCATAGTGAACAATTTAGTATGTAAACTGGAGGGTACAAATTCATTATGAAGAGCTTTTAAATAAATAAACAAATAAATAAATAATTAAATAAATAATCTAGCAATGGACATTCCATTGGGTGGCTCTTCTTTTCCACTGTTTCCAGATCAAATTGGAATTTGGAATGTTGCTTTTTGTGGAGGGAGAAAAACCAGAGGACCCAGAGAAAAAACCACAGAGCAATGACGAGAACCAACAACAAACTCAACCCACATGTGACCCCAGGTCCAGGAAATGAACCCAGGCCACAGTGGTGGGAGGCGAGTGCTCTGACCACTGTGCCATCCCTGCTCCCTGAAAAATATAGAATTACTTGTAACAAAGTAAAACACAGTGGTCTTGATGAAGCTTTATGTTTGATGCAATTTATAATAGATCATTTAATTATTTTAGTAATAATCCCAAGGGTTAAGTGGAAAAAGGTCACAGCCAGAACAGTATTCCTTCAAGAGCAATAAAATGTTCCTTAGACATGTTTGTCACTTTATAGGTCAAGTGTTATGAGTACTGGCCATGTGGAGAGGCTTATGGCCATTCTAATCAGCTTGAGTTTGGTAACTTCAAAATCAACTACCTTCAGGAATTGCACAATGAATACTTCACCATAAGATCACTGGAACTTGAAAATACTTTGGTCAGTATTTGGAATAATCTCAGTTGTTTCCCTTTTTTGTAAATGCTTCTGATCTAAACAGGCATGAGTTGACACAGGTTATCATTATTTTTTTTTTTTAGACAAGAGAGAGACGTTCAATACAGCATTTTCACTATCTGACATGGCCAGACTTTGGAGTGCCCACCTCACCTGCTACTTTCCTTGCTTTCCTGTTTGAAGTGCGCAGGGCAGGAGTGATGTCTAATGATATGGGACCCTGTGTAATTCACTGCAGGTATTTTCTTTCCCTTTTTTTATGTAATGATTAGTGGTAGCATGTACCCCAAAGAAGGCCAAAGAATGAGTTTTCTCAAGAAACTACAGGTGACCGAAACCACCATACAAGGAGATGACTCTGTCAGTCCTTAGAAAGTAATATTTCATCTATACAATATTGTGCAAAAGTCTTCCAAATGAAATACAATGAAATTCTTTATTTGTTTAAGCAATCTTTCATTGAAAGTTTGAGCAAGAATTTGATTGAAGAATCAAGGACTTTTAAGCAACATTTCATTAGAACAAGGGACGCTTTTTAATCAAACTTTCATTGCAGTGTGTAAATTTGTACAGAAAGCATCTTTTTGAACAATAGCATTCAAAATTTCGCTTTGGACACCTAGTAGATTTCCCTGAGTGATGTAGTTTGTTTATGTAAAGGTATTCAAAGGTATTTCCCAACCTCATCAGTTACCAAGACAAACTATGAGAAAGACACTTCATATTTGAGACCAAATACAGGAGGCAAAAGGATAAAACAACCATGAAACATGACATTCAGGGCTTGATCTGTTCTAGACAATGCAAATAAATCAGGATAAACTGCCCCAAACAATTCCAACTAAGATACCTGTATTTCGCCGAAGTTATCTCCCAGACATATCCAGATATTTTGCTCTTGTTGGTTGTCTGATGTTTACACACAAAAGAAAAAAGGACAAAACAAGCCTAAAACATCACATCCAATTCAGAGTTTGATCTGTTTATGACAAGGAAAGAAAATCGGGTTTAACTGCCCCAAGCGTCTGGAAATTCCACTCAGATAGTATAATTATTTGTTGGAATAGTTTTGCATTGTTGTCAAATGTTTGCAATTGCAAAATGCGTTCCTTGTTTATTTGATCTCAGTCCCCACACTGGGTGGAGGCCTTGCTTGTGGAGGAGCTCAATTTTTTCCTCTCAAAATAATTTGAAATTTTTACTGTGATGACCACCAAAAGTAGAGTACAGAAATCATCACAAATGCATTGACTGAATCAATATACCGAGAGTTGCCATGGTTGCAAACAACATGGTTTGCAGGGAGACTGGAATTGTGGGGCAAAATTTCATGAGAGTTAAACATGGAGTAGTTTACATTTTGTATATCATTTTAAGTAAGTTACAAGAGGAAGACCAGGAGAGCGAGTTTCTTTCCAAACTGAAAAGCTTCTGGGCATTTAACTTTCAGTGAGACAGACACAAACATCAAGAAATGTGCAGGCATGATTCATGGGCAAGATGATCGAGTCAATCAAACTGATTTCAACTGATTTTTCTCTTGCATAACAAACCAGAAGTGAACCGTAATCTTTTTGAGAAGACAAAACAATGACAATGAGTTTGCACTATGAAAATTTACCGTGAAAAACCAACTTTTGCTCAAAATTCCAAGTCGAATTGATACCATCGAGAAATATGTCATGGAAATTTTTTTTTTGTGAAGAACTCATTGAAAAGCCAGGAATTACATTGAATTTCATCAACGGGTGTTTGCAAGACTTTTTGCACAATACTGTATGTATTCGAAGTTTGAAATATTTTAGAGTTTTGTTTTCCTTACTTTTGAAGTGCTGGTATAGGAAGATCTGGAACATTTGTCATGGTGGATTCAGTTCTGACAGAAGTGAGTAGTATGCGATTAAATTATACCAACTGTAAGATTTCATCACTGATGTTATCAGAGTAAGAAATAAGACTAAAAAGTAAATGCTAGGTAAAGCACCACTTAAATGTTGGTGACACTTTATGAGGCAACACAGACTGGAATTCTCATCAGTTTTCAATTCTTGACAACTGTGGCTTGCACAAGGTCACTTAGTAAATAAATTAAGCACAACAAGCATTTTTCCTTCATTGTTTCTAAAACTTCTTGAGAACTTTATCCAGTAGTGCAAATTATTGATATCAAGACTCAAGTTCAAGACTGAAGTTTTTTTTCGTTACTATCTGAGTAGTGTATTCTTGTTCTGGAAGATTTCCCTTTTTTTATCAGATTGAGCATGAGGAAGACATGAATCAGATAGATATCCAAGCCATGTTACTAGAGATACGGCAATACAGAGTTGGTCTTATTCAAACACCAGATCAACTGCGCTTTACATACCTTGCCATTTTAGAAGGTGTACGTGTTCTAATGCCCGAGATATATCAGAGAGCTGCAAACCATCACTTACAACCAAATACTGGTGAGTTACCTCAGTCTGACAGTACACACTGCGATAGTTAAAGTGTGTACAAACATTTCAGGCTTATGCCCCGCAGTATTAGAGGTCTTAAACCTGAGGAGTACTTATCAGTACCTTAAATATACAATTTTTATTTATGAGTTGTGAGGAATTGCCAATGAACAAGCCAGTCTTTAACCAAGTGAGTTTACAATTCTTCACAACAGGTTTCACTGAATAAAAATCGCACAAGGGAACTAACCATGATGTAAATTCTTTACTGTATAAGTAATGAGCTATGACAGTTTTTAGCTCTAAATCATGGTCAAATGACCACAAAAGACAAAGAAGTTGCAAACTTGATATTGCTTTTATTTAGACCCAGTCAATGCCGCTAAGAAGTCTAAAATACTGCATTTTAGTATACAAAAATTTTACAGAGCCCATTCAAAGAAATTTAGGCATATGTTTGACAATTGAAGAGTTTCTGAGAATATTTAGCTCACATATTAAGTTTTCAAACTAACAGAGTATTTTCTATTCTGACTCAGAGCCAAGTAGTTAAGCCTTTTGAGAGAGATGACTTTTATTTGAGAGAGACGATCATGTTATTTGTACCATTAAGGAGTAGTTTTTGATGATGTTCCCAATCAAGTTTTATCATTTACCCATCCACCAATGAAATGTTACCTGAATTTTTGACTATTGGTCCAATGAACCAAAATTTAAAATCTGAACAATCTTTCTGCAAAATGTTTCATAGCAGTCTCCTGATTTCTCTAAAAGGTGAAGACCAGGATGGTGAAGTGAGAGCAAATAAAAGAGATGATGCAAGCCATCAGGAGGGGGAAGAAGAGGAGACACCACCTCCATTACCACCACGAAGAAGGCATGCTGACACTGCTCATGAACCAGAGAATAAAAAGAGTCGTATAGGTGAACCTGGTATTTCACTTAATATACGCCCTAATGAAAAAATATTAAGAAATGGATTAAAAAACTGAGAATTATGGTGGCAACAGGGACTGTATTGTATAATTAATGGGTAAAAAAGCTTATGCACTGAAACATGAATTAGGAGCACAAATCAGAGAAAGAAATTTGCAAGAAGGTTAGTGCCTCTAATTTGTGAGGAAACTACATGTACAGTTAAACACTTTCATTATTTGAACTTATTGGGACTAGAAAAAATAGTCCCGATGATTATGGATCCAAATAATCAAGAATATCAATGTTAATGAGGGACAAAAGCTGATTAAGTTAAGAAAGTGACATTTAATCCTGAAACAAAATTTTACAAATTGTTTTAAAATTATGGTCTACATCTTTGCTGTCCATTGTTAAACCCTTTTCTTCCATCACTTGATGTAACTTCTGTAGAAAAGGCTTGACAGTTTCTTCTACTAACCCCAAGCATACCACAGTAAATGAGCTCCTAGCTCGTGAAATCTCACTTATCAACAAAGCTACTCTAAGCCAATCAGGCCTTATTTGAATTTTCTGCATCAGTCACGATACACACATGCTTTTGCTTTTTGAAAGCAAAACAAACTGGCCTTTACTTCCCTTTTCAATGCTGTACTTTTAAAAAGAATATGGATACAGATCTTTATCAGGACTAGTAAATATTGATGACAAAATTTGGGCCCGAGAACAGGTCTGGATAGTCAAGAAATTTGGATAATTAAGGTCTGGATAAATGAGGTTCCAACTATACCTCCAAAGAGGTGCTGCAATGAAAAATGACTTTGAAGAGCAAAGTGGAAGTTAGATTTAAGGATAAAATCGAAGAATACCAGGTCTTTGTTTAATTTTTGTACACTTATCACCTAGTTTTAGTTGTTGTTGTTGTTGTTTTTTTAATCCAATTTTTAGAGAGAAGCTATTTTTAATTGTAGCTGGCAACCTTATCTGAATTTAGTTATCTGCTTTACAGAGTCAAAAGCAGAGGTTGGAGAGGTGTTTTCAGACAGTGGTAGTGATGAGTCAGATGAAATCATCAACCTGTCTTCTTTGTCAGAATCAGAGCCTGATGTTGACATTATTCAACGAAGGGAAAGCTTAGATGATTCAAGAGATGATGACAACTCAAAGGTTATTGGTTTCTAATAAAACTGACCTTTTTATGTTTTCTTGTGATTTTGTGCATGCAGTAGCTTCTTGAATTTAAGATCCTGCTGCACAATGGCTTGAGTTTAAGTTGTCTTTGTTATTTTCTTCTTCTCTTAGGAACGAAGCAAACTATCCCCTGTGCATGCTGAGTTGCTTTTTAAAGATGATAAATTACAGCAAACAGAGAAGGGTCTTCAGATAACTGATGAGTGGTCTAAACCAAAAGATGTGCCTCAATCAACTGCTGTAGAGAGTCAGCTTACCAAGGGAGGTACTCTCCACACAAAAGACAAGGAGGACCCCAAACCAGTAGGTGAAGGGGTTCTTCTCTTGTTGGATGATGGAGGTTGCAATGCCAAGGAACACTGTAAAAACACAGGGAATGGCTGCAAACCTTCAAACCAAGGATGCAAAGATATAACAGGAAGTCTCAAAACTTCCGATGAAGGGTTGACATCAACAAGTGAAGGTCAAATAAAAGAGAATGCAAGGTATCTATGATAATACAGTAGTAGCAGAGAGAACTGGGAATAGAGGTGAAATCCAAAGCGATTCTCCTGAACAATGTAATAAAGGAATAAAACTTTCCCATGATGCAACTAGGGAATACTGGCTGAATCATTGTTAAGAGTACATTCACTTGGAAAAATGTAGATGTGAATTACAAACTTTTTCTCAGTGGCATGGAAGAAGAAGGCATAACCAACCAAGAAAGTCGGCTGGTCAACGCTTTCTATTTCAGGCAGTTAAAGCCCTCGGTTACTTGGTGCTCATCATGACTTACAAAAATGTCTCAAAACCAGAATGTTACTTCATAAATGTTTCACATCAAATTCATCATAATATATATAGTGTGAAAAATTAAGTACTGGTTAAGTAGAGATGAGAATACATACCAGTCACCAGGAATGGGGAAGGTCAACATGGAAGGTGGAAGAAACACTTGAAAAAAATCTAGGCTTCTGTATTTAAGATGCTCATATCATAATATAGCTCCTGTGGAAACAGCCAACAAAGATGTGCGAAATAAGTTCATTTAAACTTCATGACCAGGACGCTGCATTTTTTGTTCACAGTGGAATGGAAGTACGTAAGCGAAGGGAAGAACGTAGGAAAAAGACGACTGATTTGATTGAAAAAATAAAGAAGAATGTCAAGCAAAGTGAAGATACAAAAGTGTGGAACTTCAGAGTGATGGTATCAGGAGGGATCCTGTTAGGATGTACAGTAGCATACTTGGCTTACAGATACTTCACTAATGGCTAACTTTTTTTTTTCTTCAATGGAATCACACTGAAGTGACTTTTCTTTTAGTTCTTCTCAAGGGTTGTTTCTCTTTTCAATTGGGTGATCATTTTGAATATTGTCCTTTTTGAACCTATTAGTAAACATTTAATACTTCTTTTTTTTACACATTTTAAGATACCTTAAATCATATCCATATGACAGGGCCAAACAATGACAGTGTGTTATGAAAGATACTGCATGTGGAGCTTTGATTTCTTATGTTGTCGGAAAGTTGCAGCAACAATGCGGAAAACATGTTTTATCTCGAACCCCAAAGTAATCTGTACTTGTATGAGTTGTGGTTCAATTTTATTTTTTGTATTTTGTTTTAAAAATGAAATACACTGAAATTATAATAAGAGAAAAAAGTCACATTTAAAGCAAGAATGAATATGAACTACCAGGTATGCATATGCCAAAGGTCAGATTTTCCAAAAGACTTCTAAATTTCCTTTAACAGCAGTAATTTGTAGTTGTTATACAAGAGTCAGTAAACATTACAATGTATGTGCTTTCCAAAATGGTCCAAAATTTCCTTAGTACACTTACTGTATGTGTAGACTTCTCAGCTAGTTACTATACTCTGAGTTGAATTTTCTTTACTTTATTAATACTGTATTTCACCAATAATTATTCAATTCATCATTTTTTTCTTTTTGAAAGTTATATGGTTTATTTTTTAAAAAGGAAGATCAATTTTAGAGGTGCAAATCTTCTGTTTCATTAACATTGAATATTTAAATCATTGTAAAAAGTCTTTGTTGGTTGAGGAAAAACATAATGGCATTTTACGTGTAATCTCTTACTTTATAAATGTAAAGTACCAATGTAATTTTTCTCAGAAAAATGTAATATTCAAGGAAGGTTGAGAAAAAAAAGGAGATCTAAATCTGGTTTGTTGTTGGTGAAGTGCTCCTGATTTTTGTGTTTCATGTTTTGGAGGCATGATGCATGTTTCATGTTTTGGAGGCAGGATGGAAAGAAATTAAAACTTTTGGTGATTGTTGGTATCAAGGTTATTTTGCTGACTAGGACATCATTTTGTTTTTTAACTTTAATGAGCTGTAATATGTTAGAGTTGACAAAAAGTATTCTTAATTTCCCAGAAGAAAACTGTTGTTTGTTAATATTGTTATAAATAGTATAACTTACAGTAATTTGTGTAAAATCAATTCTTAATTTTATCACGATGTTGATGTAGATTCTTTTTATACTCACTTTGCATGAATTTTGCATTAAATGATTGTGAAAGCCTTGTTTATCTCTTCATACAACAACAAACAATAACAACAAGCCTTTATTTCATCTCGAATTTAAAATAGCAAAAAAACCATGCTAATATCTCCGAGAACTGTATCTCTCATACAGTACCTTTGTACTAATTTAATGACTGAAAAAAGTGTGAAGGCTGCAGGCGTACTATTTGTTTAAAGGGTGTAGAGGGAACTTTGTTGTCTAGCCCGAGGGTGGTTGAATCAAAGGTTCTTAAGCCAGGACACGACTGAGGTTGTGAATCATTCGGGAATCAAAAGTAAAGGGTTCTTTGTAAGGCATTTTTCTATAAATCACTTTGCTCTTTACACTTGCAAGAGGTAGTGAGAATTTAGGGAAGCACTCATGGTTTTGTAGCTCAGTCATAAAAATTGAAAACAGTGCTCTGGTTTACAAACTTGACCTGAAGTGAATTTACCCATCAAGCCATTCAAAATAGTCTTTAATTGTGCTAAAAATGTGTGGCTATGGAGGTGGAATGAAACTTTACAACTAGGTCACAAACTCATCAAATAGTAGGTCAAAACAGATGTAGCTCTAGTTCAAAGAAACAATCATTATTCAAGACACAGATGCCTTTTTGTGTTACTTCCAAATTTTCAAACAGATCACCGTATCTCAAGCCCTTTAATGTTTTGAGTGAGAGGGACACTCAGAAGTGAGTTTGTGAAGAGAAATTAGATGCTAGTCACTCTTGGGAGTAAAACAGTTACTGGCAGGCTAGGGGTGAAGATTAGATAGTTTCTGGAGCGCACCTCTCCTTTAATAGTGCCAGTTAAAATATATCAAGATACATAGCCAGCTTCTAATTATAAACCAAAAGTAGTTTATTAAATAAGTTAAAAATGACACTTCCATAGCCTAGCTAGTTGTGATTATCTATTGGGATATTCAAGTAGAAGGTTAGCTGCAACTGTCACATTTCATAGTCCAATCAAACATTACTTTTAAACTACAACATCTTTACTCTTTGAATTATCTCTTTCATTCCACTAGAGCAGTGAGAATGGGGAATTTGGGAAATATGTTAATTTGAGTTAATTAGGCCTTGGTTATAAAAACACTATTGGAAACAATGACTATCTATTGATTGAGTACTAGCAAAAACGAAACTACACTGCATGGAGCAAAATCAGACATCTGGCAAGAAAGCATCATCCAGCACTTATTCAATGTGGGCAGATGTAAATTACATCTGCCCACATACAGTCACAACTTTGATCCACAAATAAAAATGTGTGTGTATGAAACTTGCTTCACCAATTTAACCTACATTTTAACACTATGACTGAGCACATTGATACAATATGTCATCAACATAGGTGCTTTCTGCTTGTCAAAAGAAAAAAAGAATTGGGATACTGTTCAGTTGTCTTGAAATCTCACTTGCAATGCCACATTCCTTAACCAGCAAGGGTTGCAAGATTTACAGCCCTTAATTGTAACAATTATTCCTCAAATAACCGACTAGCCAATGAACTTCTGACAAAAAATGGACAAACTAATACCAAACTAAATTACATCCATTACTGATACAAAAAATTAAAATTTTAATATGTGGTAATACCACGATACATTTTAACACCTTCCTACAAATAAAATGTCAGCAATATATTTATTTGATAAATTACCTTTAAATGTTACCTTTAAGGAAGTATCAATGTTGATGTGACTTATTGAACCTCACTTAAGTTCTTTGCTAAACTTGAGGAAACTCGGGCTCATTGTAGAGATAAAACAAAATTTGTCAGTTTACTGATCAACAAACTCAGAGGAAAAACTAAAAAACATTAATTCAGTGGAAGCTTCAGTAAGCTTTTCAGTCCAAACCAACCCCTCAAACAAACTGATATCACATCAACATTTTTCTACTGAGGGTTATCATCTTTTGATTGATCATTTAAAAATTTCAATTTTTGGCTATACTTGCCTAACTACCTATAGGGAATGTTTACACTGGCATTTAGCCATTCAAATCTTGTCTTCAAATTTGTTCAACTAATAAATAAATACTGGTGATCATTAGTCTCAAGAGGCTGGGTTTAAAAATGAAGATAATCTTTCTGTACAAGACCATCAATCTAACTTCAGAAAACAAAGAAAAACTCACCAGTGGTCCACTTATTACTTGCAGTAATTGGTACTTGTATAAGTTTGTATTTATAGTTTAATTGCTAGTAGCTCAGTAAATCAATGTCCTTTACTGCATTGTTTGTGTGGTTTAAATAAAACAAAATAGCTAACAGTGTATAACTAAGTGTAACTAGTGATTATTGCTTGAGCCTTTCTTCAAGAGCATTCAGCTCATCTCTCACAGCATTTGGTAAGTCGTCCCCTAGCTGCTCTTCATAGTATTGTCGCAGGGAGCGGCACTCTTCCAACCAGTAGTCCTTGGGAATACTGAAAAGCTCCTTCATGTTCAGTTCTCCAAGACCTTCAGCATTAATAGAATCATTTTTGGGTATAAAACCAATTGGACTGGGCTCTGCAATGTCCTCTCCGTCACAACGTCGCAGCACCCACTCAAGTACACGACTGTTCTCTCCAAATCCTTGGGAAAAAGTTAAAAAAGAGTTGTTTAACTAAGAAATGAAGACCATCAAAAATATACTTACAACTGCTTGAAATAATTCTAAGAAATTTTTAAGGCAGTAAATATATAATTTTAAAACTACTGTAAGAGAACACTGTAAGCAAGGATGCTAAGTGCCTGCAAACTATGAAAGGATTAACTTTTTGACCAATAAAAACAAAAAGTACTGCTTGTGAGTAAATGAATGTAATCTGAATGAGTGAAAAAGCAGTGCAGTGCACCTCTGAAGAAGAAAATTTGTGTTGAAATATTGTTACTGTAACTCTCTCAAGTCTCACCTGGCCACAAGAACTTGTTATTTTCATCAAGACGGAACCAATTTACATGGAAAATTCTCGGCAACTTATGATTTGGTTTGTTTCCTAGACTTAACCAGTGTTCCATGTATTTGCCAAAATTGTACCCAAAGAAAGGCCTCATGGCAAAAGGATCTCTCATGACATTTTTCCCCTGATGTTCAGCAGCAGCAGTGGCTTCAGAAGACATAGATGAAGCAATGAAAACCCCATGCTGCCAGTTAAAGGCTTCATACACTAGAGGAACTCCCCGTGGGCGTCTGCCACCAAACAGTATAGCACTGATGGGAACACCCTTGGGATTCTCCCACTCTTTGTCCATGATTGGACAATTACTGATTGGTGCACAGAATCTGGAGTTAGGATGTGCTGCCTTAGTTTTTCCAGGCCTCCAATTTTTCTCTCCAAGCCAAGTAGTTACTTCTGCATCTGGTAGCGGCAAACCTTATAAAATAAAGATGAGATTGTGAATGCAGCCTTTCATGCAGCCATTTTAGGATATAAATTTTTCAGATAAACTTGATTTTCAGCTGATAACATTGCCTATAGGGATACCATAACCACTGAAAACTGAAAAAGGTTCCAGACTGCAAGAGCTTTTCTCATCCAGGTTTCAACAGCACACACATATCACACTGAACAGCTTTTGTACTTAGTTTGCTATTCACTATTTGCAAGAAAATACACGTTAAAATTCTCTCCAAATGGTAAGTGCCCTATATCAGATCTGATTCACTATGAGATACCTGACACAATAATGAGATGATTCTGTGTATTAAACCTTGATCTTGCAAATTGTATGTTTTCATTTTCAAACACATTTTACAGCATCTACCTTCCCAATAAAAGTCACCATCACTTGTTTGTGCAACATTTGTAAACAACGTTCCCTTTTTGCATGTATCCATAGCAACTGGGTTGGTCTTGTTTGACGTTCCTGGCGCAACTCCAAAGAAGCCAAATTCTGGATTAATAGCTCTCAGTTGACCTTCTTCATCAAACCACATCCAAGCAATGTCATCACCAATACATTCAACCTTCCATCCTGGCAATGTTGGTGTCATCATGGCTAAATTGGTCTTTCCACAGGCACTTGGGAAGGCAGCAGCAATATATTTCTTTTCACCCTGGGGGTTTGTGAGACCAACAACCTGGATAGAGAAACAGCACAATAGCTTTAGTTTAGTTTAATTTTTTTCATTTTCATGAATACTTTATACATGCTAACCAAACTGTTTGATTTTTATCCTGAAAAAGAGTCAGAATTTTGTGAAAAGTGTGTCTGACTGTCAAGGCTTTCATGGCCCTATCATTTCTGCTAAGAAATGAAGAAAGGGTAAGCTGCTGTGAGCTGCTGCAAGATAGAAGAAGCTTTCAATGTTTAGGTCTGATTCTTCTGTCCCAAGCATTAAGTTTAATAGATGTACACTTTGATTCACCATTCAGACATATCAGTTTTTTTCACAAATCTGATGGCATATCAAGCACTAAATTGGAATCACCATTTTACTTTTGGTCTTGACATGCCTTACTTGATGAAGGTATTCAGATTGTTAAGTGTTTTATTTCTTAGTTGTAGTGTATCATACCAGCATGTGCTCTGCCAACCATCCTTCATCGCGACCAATTGTGCTGGCAATCCGCAAAGCAAAGCATTTCTTTCCCAAGAGAGAATTCCCTCCATAGCCACTTCCAAAGGATTTGATTTCACGATCATGAGGAAAGTGGGAGATTATGGTCTTATCCGGATTACAGGGCCACTTGAACTGAGATGGTGGTTCAGGTTGAGGCACGCCAACTGAGTGAAGACACTTCACAAAGCTGTTGTCTCCCAAAACTTTCATTACCTCTGCACCCATCCTAGTCATGACACGCATGGAACAGACTACATAAGGAGAGTCTGTGACTTGGATACCAATCTTAGACACAGGAGACCCAACTGGACCCATACTGAATGCCATGACATACATGGTACGACCTGGAAAACAATATGTCTATCTCTGAAAATAAGCTTGTATACAGTTCATTCATTTTCGAAAAGTAAAACCTGTGAGTTATAGTCCTATGGAAGACAATTTAACCCCTGGAAAATGTAGCTAAGTTTCAATCCCAACATCAAGAAACTGTTTGCATTTTTTACAGAGATATTTGAAGACCTTAGACTCCATCCCTTCTTGTTGAATATTTTACTTATATATATGTGAAGCTGAATTCTGCTCACACATTTTGATTGGTTCCTACTATGATCTATTACAAGACAGGCATTAATAACATTTTTTTTTAATGTGAATGACCTTTGAAATCCACTAGTAAGAATTTTTTGCCATATCCTGTTTAACAAATAGATTCCATGTGCTGTGAGTTGGTGCAATAATAGATCACAGGTCAAAATGTGGAAAAAATATCTGTGACCAATCTGTGATCTATTACTGAATGGCCACACCTCAACATGGAATCTATTTTTTTATTCTCATCATCGCATTTCAAAGGTCATCCACACACTTAAAACTTAACTGTGCAAAGCCTGATATTAACTTAACTGTGAAAAGCCTGATATTATTAATCATCAATCATCTTATTCAAAGTTCAATAGTTAAAGGATATTGCTTGATGTTTCTTCCTTGTTAAGATATCATTAAATAACAAACAATTTTCCCTCAGGCTTTTAATAAAAACACACATTTACATATTTTAAGAGAAGACTGATTGGGAGATGGGAAACAAGTTAACTGATTGACATATTTGGGCTTTAAAAAATTGGGGGATCATAGATTTTTGCATCAAATTGTGAAGTTGAAAACTAATATGGATTGCAAATCAGCTTAAGAGTTTGGCCTGGATTATAGATTACTGCACTATTATGTAGAGGTGCTTTGTTTTTGTTTCACTTTTTCAAAAATGTACTAGTAATTTGGTAAAATCTTGATAGTTTGAAATAAAAGCATTATATACATTTGTACCATCACGAGCAGAATAACTTCACACCAAATAATGCTCTAATAAAAAGTAAGGCTGATCTCAATTAGAATGAAAATAATTTGGGATTAACAAAATTGGCCAAATGTGACATGGATGAGTGGATTTGCACAACCACATTCAACCCTCCCTAAACCCAAAAAATGCTTTCTTTTTTCATTAAAACAGCAAGATTTATCAGGCCTGAGTAGTTTTTCCCAAACTGTGCATAATAAAACTACAGACAATTAAACAAATAAGAAATTAAGAAAGAAAGGATTTCCATGACAGATGAAATGCAAGACTGGAATGTAACAGGTTCAAAGTTCTTCCAGTGTGATAAAAATCTCTGATAACAACTCCCTTGGGGTAAATAATCATGCATATTCAGACTTAACAAAATCTTATTGAAAACTGCATTTGAGTTGATGTCATGTTACAGAGAGCCAGAAAACTACCCTTGATACAGTGGTACAACAACATGGAATATTTAAAATATTTCCCTTTTTAGTGAAGCATGAAGTTTCCAATTTTCACTTCAATTTTAACATGGCATAAGTGATGTGATAAGGACCTGTTTAGCACCAGTATTCACATTTTATGATGACTGAGAAGTTGTGAGATATAAAAGTTTCCCAGTCCAGCTTATCTGTTTAACCTGAACAGACTTCAATAAAGCTGACTAATCCTTAATCACCAAGGAAAGGAAAAGTCCCTTGTTAGCTTAACCTTTTTGCTTTGGGTTGTTTTTGAAGCATTTAGTATTTTGATTTTTATTGTTGCAAAAAAAATTAGTTTTCAGAACAGAGATTTTTACTAACAAATGCACTATGGGGAAAAAAAAATGTGAGAAAGCAATCAGCCAAAGCAACCAAGACTTGTTTTTAAAACAAAACAAATACCCTATTATTAAAATTCTAAAAGACCAAGTTGACCTTTGAAACTTAGTTTGAAATGGACAATATCCTATTTACGTGGCATACCCCTTGACACACCTCCTGCAACAACCAATCACAACGCACGGTTGACAATATCGTCAGAGCCCGGCATGACAGGACAATTTTTAACGAAATCTTCCAGAAAAAGGGTAGGAAAGCTCTCTCTTGATGCCAAATGACAAGTTTTAAGCAGAAAGTGATTTTCTTTGGTCGACGAACTTCGGTTCAAATAAATCCTAGTTTTTGCATGAGGATGGCAATCGTGCTGAATTCTTCTTGAAGACATGTCCTTACCTTTCATGCAACCAGGAAATCTTTTACTCAACTCCTTGTTCATCTCCTTAACGCTCATCCATTTACCTAGCCGGCCTTCAACTCCATCCTTCGCCGTTGGGATGGATTCTCTTTTCTCCTCCGTACAGATGTATGTTTTAGATTCCACTCGTGCCACATCGCGTGGATCGGTGCGGGCTAAGAAACTGTGAAACACGAAACATTAGTGTCAGTGGGGTATAAAATGAAATTTACTGTTATGTTCTCTCTCCTTGATCCCTAAGTATGATTCACTTCTTGGAAAAATCCACGTCTCAGGTGTATTCGATTGTCAAATCAACAAATGACAAAATAAGCAATTCTGGCTTAAACTACTTGAACATACCAGTTGTCATATTTATGAAGTTTAGTCAGCACACCATTTTCGATCAACTCGTTGATTAATGATTCGTTTTCTGCTTTGGATCCATCGCAAATGTAAACGTTGTCTGGTTGGCAGAGTTCGACTTTGTCGGCCACATATTCTTGTACTTTAGTGGGTAGAGAATCAAACTGACCTCGAATCACGGAACAACTGGCTGGAAGCTGTGAGGCCATCCTTCGAAGGACGATGCTACAACGTAAAGTAAAACAAGGTGACGGCGAAACAGCTATCGAAGAAATTCTGTCGAAAAAAAAACCGAATGGGGACGAAAATCAGTTTCAGAGATACAAATTCATGAACAGCAAGAACGAAGTGACATCACTAACTACTGAAACTCAACAAGATATTTTCAAAATACGAGTTGAACGAGAGGTGTTACCGACCGTGATATCACTGATGTAAATGACATCTTCGACTTTGATCAGAAATAAATACATACAGGTTACGCTACGATTATTCTAACGTGGTTGCCGGTAATTTTCCAAGGGAACGGTTACCCACTGAAAAGCTTCCAGGAGAAACTAGTCCAAAGGTCATTGGGAGACTTGAGGTGGCTCGATTAGAACAAGCATTTTAATTGGTTGACATCTGTGCATACACTATTGAGTAAGACGTATTTGTACGTCACGCTAGTTGATCGGAAGGTCATGTAAATTGAATGTCTTCCCGTCACGGCCGCACACTGATTAAAGACAGGAGAAATCGAGCAGTGCATTAATACATGATTAAATATTTGAATACTTCACCTTCTGCACTAGATATGATAGCAAATGAAAATTTCAAACGTTCGATGAGTCTGCTAAGAATCATTTGCCGCTACCAACAAAATCCCAGTGGATTATATTTTGAGAAAAAAGGCTCCTAACGAGAGTAAATTTACTTTTGTATCCAAATTTTGAAAATGACATTATTCAATCCTGCGCCCTTGTCCCGCCCACATTTCCTGAACGTCATCAGGCGTCATATGTCATACAACTCACGGGGCTGTGAAACACGTCATGTCAACACGGAATATTTTGCTCACAACAATCATTTCAACAAAAGGAAAAAGATCCCTCATCTCGTTTCTTGGGTAAACTTTGTGCGTCGACTTATTGCATGTTGCATGTTGTATACGGTGTTGCAACACTTTTCCATAATACACATTCCTTAAATCTTTTCATCGATCGGTCTTGATAACTCACACCACCTTTTGGGGGTTGATCATCAATTATATATTCAATGTTACAAGGCACTCCGCGGAATAGTTTGCTTTTTTCCTCTCTCGGTTAAGTTGATTAATTTTTATATGATTCTTAAAGTCATCATTATTATTTTTTTTTTCTCCTCGAAGCGGGTAACATTTTGGGAATCGCCTTGGAGAGGATAAACATATTTCAGTTGATAATCTATTTATTTTAAATTTTTTCATTTGGAGTTGGGGACCAATATCATTTCTATAACTTGATCCAAGCATAGCTCTTGAACAATGATCACATTTGAACTTGTAGTAGTCTAATATATTGGCTAGATCCTCGGTCGAGAAGCAACATGAAACGTAAAACACTGCCAAAAGATGACCACCTTCGGAAATCACGCCCTAAGAGAGACTTAAGACAACTGTGGATGCAAGCACGGGTTATTTAGTCTAATAAAATTGGAAAGCGATAAAAAAACTGATAAATAAACAAATTCATACATTCCAAGCTCTATGGGGTGCTAAAAAACCTTAATACATGCACTGTTTCAAACGTCTCCGAGGTAGTCTCCTGAGAGGAGAAGGCCTGGTGACGAGTTTCATCTGGTTCTCCTTGAAGTCAATGACCACTTATAATTCTTTGATCTATTCGTGCACCATCTTTCGCCATTATTTCGCCAAATGATACAGCTCCATAACCCAGTCGAGGAACATTCTCATAACCTGTCCCTTAGTTCCGAAAAAAATTAAAGGAAACAGCTTCATAACTTTGACATTTTGTGGACGAGTCAACGGAGGCGACGAATGCTGAGCCTTTCCTGTGGCCTTTAAAAATACAGTATATTCGATGTCATATACCCCCGCCTGTTTTGAATAAACACTGAAAAACAGAAAATGGGCTCATGTTCTCTTACACTAAATAGATTCGCGATAAAATTACTAGGGACGTAGGTTTACTGAATGATCTTTCACTGAACAGACTATTACTTATAACAGTACTAAGGAATTATGTATTCCTTTCACGTTGGCTCCCACTATCATCAGTATATAGAAATAGCTAGAGCGATTCAATAATCACATGAAGCCAGTAGATACTGGATCAGACCAGACAAGGTCAAATCGACGGAACAAAATTGAATTCAACAGTGCTTCCAGCCATCAGGCTTTTAATATCCTCTCGCCGTAGGTTCCGCGACCACCATTTTCAAAACAGATAGAAACTCAACACCGTGAGAATATCCTCTTTTTGTAAGAACCTTTTTGGTTCCCATTTTGGTCGTTTTCATGAAAACCTTTGGGCTGAGATTAACCAAAATTTTATGATCATACTTAGCATATACTCAGACTGAGAGTCAGTTAATAACGGATCATTTTTTTTCGATGAGAAGTATAAATATATGAGAAGTATAAGGGAAAAGGAAATGTATAAGTGTGGTCTAATAGGACAATTAACTCAAATACTTAGGACAATTTTTTAACCTTGACCATTCAGTTATTCCATGATGCGCTGAAGACCAACTTAGTTTGTTGTAGAACTTAGTCTGATAACGTCCTAATTGATTAATTGCCATACAACTTTAACACTGGGAACGTTTTCAGGCTTAAATCGCGAAGGAAATAAAAGAACGTTAAGCCTCAGCACCAAAATTGGTAAAAAAAGAGAGTAAGTTGAATAGGAAACTTTCATGAGACTTGCGTGTTTAGAAACGGCGACTGAAGTGTTTCAGAATTCTACTTCTTCCCCATAGCTTACCATAGCAGTTCGTCGTTTTAATTAGCTCATTCAGGTACGAAGTGCAGCGGATGCGTTGTTAGTAACGGAGCAAATGTCAACCGGGAAGCTTCAGACTTTATACAGAAGAAGTAGACTATGGAAGGTATATGAAAATGTAAACCCACCTTCCCCCCGTCCCTTCCCATCCAGTAAAAGTCAAAACATTATCTTCGATAAAACACATTATCATGTTCAAACTGTTTTTTAAGCATGATATATCGACTAACATCAATAGAAATTGCTGAACTACTAAAGTTTCTACTGTATGGTTGTGAAGTTTCTAAAAGGTTTGCACTTCGGAGACCCATGACAGCTTTATTTCATCGTTTCAATTGGTCATAGTGGAGAGGAGAACATTATATTTGTCTCCGTAATAATAGATAATCATTTTTCCGGCTATTACTTGGATTTTCCTTTGAAGCTCTTCAACATACCACCCTCAATCACAGCGGCCAAAATAATCTCACTAAACATTTATCACACAGTCGGACATTTAGATTCCGGGTTGCCGTTCGTCTTTTCAGTAATAGATCACAGGTGATGTCAAAATGTAGTTAGAAAAAATAAAAATTAGCGTACGAGGCATAGCTGAGTTTGTCATAAAGGCCGCCTGTAATCTTTCTGCTATATTTCTGAACAAGCGTATAGAAACATGGAATTATTATCAACTATTAACTCTGTTCTACCTAAAAGGTGAAACAAATATTTCAAAATGTGAAACAGAATTTTGTTGATTTCGACGTCCTACATGCGTCTGTCCTCCAAGGCAAGACAAGTAAAGAACCAATCGAAATGATCGTATGACTCAGTTTATTGCATGCACATTTATTGATAATTGACCAGTCCAAAACAAAAAAAATTAACCGACCATAGTCCCCCACCATAGTCCACGTTGGTCAACCAAACCGTCTTCAGTAGAAATCCTAGCTACATGTTACAAGATCTTTTACTCAGTTTACCGAAGTTTCAGTCAAGGTAACTCGTTGAAATATGTAAGGTGTTTATGACTGTTCACATGAGAATCTGTTATCTCAGTTTATGCCCATTCCCCCTTCATAGTGTACTTTCTTGCTTAAGTCACCCTTCTTACTTGCTGTCATTCACCCTCTAGTCCTTAGTCCCTATGAGGAATATTTAACAACTATTCCACGAGCGTGCGTTGGATATGAGATGATAGAGGCGCCTAGCGCCGAGTTGGCTTTAATAATCTCATATCCAACAAGCACGAGTGGAATAATTGTTTTATTAAAAAAAAAAACATCCCCAAGATATTAGACAAATCTTCTCGACTTTGTTTTGTAAGAAGAAACCGGATGTTACAATGTACAGATATTAGATTTGGCTAAAATCGCTAAGCCTATAAAAATTCTTGAATTGCATTATCCAATGATCCAGTCTTTAATAATATGCAATATCTCTTAGCTTGCAAGTGTTCAAGAATAGTAATGGCTATTTAAACCTAGACCACGCTAAAACAAACTGTCGTTTCCGTTTAGAGTTTGAGTCAGTAGGGTTCACCTCGACCAATATTACTTAACCAATGGTATAATGAAGTAAAACATACGAGAATGAGCTGGCTCTGACAGCCGTGTGATAATTTTTTTCAGTTAGTTTTTGAACAAGATAACAAAGAAATAGACATCAGTATCACATGACTCTTTTTTCTCAGATCTTCTTCAGACAATGATTCCAAGAACTATAACTGTTAAACAATACAGTAATTGAAGCACACCTCCGGAAAAGGCAAGAAAACTCAGCTTTATATGGAAAATACTGAATCACCAGTTTCAGTAACTGCATTTGAAAAAAGAGTTCTTTTGCTTTTTTTGTTTGTTTTTTTTCTAGCAAACAGAAACATTTCTTTAAAAAAAATAGGAATATTTATCACAGTATGATAAATTCAGGTATGACCAGAAAAGTAAAAAAACAAATTAAAAAAAAAGAACGCTGTTAAATCTCTATTTGACAAAACTAAACTCCTGATCTAAGACTTATAACCTCATACTTATTTTAAAGTAATTGAAAAACAGTTTTGACTGCGAAAAGCAACGTCTGTAATTAATCAACTTCTTTAACAGTGGGTCCATTACAAGAACTGCTGGTCCTCTGCTGCAGTCCATGGACATGATTGGTGAACGCACTCGTTGTGGATTTTTCTCTTTTTCTTCATACTCTTCGTTGTCTGTCTGTGAATTTCTTTCCAACCAAGCGATCACCGTCCTACAATTTGCTCTTCACAGTCTCCAGATCCACAGAATTTAATTTGTTCTCTACATTTGGCCGTTTTTGTGACGTTAAACGAATATATAGTTTACCAGGCTGTTTCTTGCTGCAATATTCTGACGCTGTTTCCCGTCTTCTTCCTAATACTACTTCTCGGCCTCAGCCACCATCCGGTCAATCTCAGCTTTGGCCAGCAGCTGCGCCTCTTGTCATTGCTAACAGTGATGTCGTTGGTTCACCAGTGCTTTGATCCTTGCCAGATACCTTCAATCTTCTAAGATCCCGTTGGCATTAATATCCAGAGAGACTTCTATCTTGGGCACACCTAATAATAATATTTATTATTATTTAATA